TGGGGAATATTAACTGATCTCATGGAAGAATGACTCTAGAGCTTAACGTTTAACACAGAATTTTGGTAGGGGGTTTCCTTGCATGTAGTTTGCTTTGACTGCAGATATCCTGCCTTGCTTTTTCCGGAGGCCCTCACCTACTCTGACTCCACCCCATGGTCCCTGTCTCAACAGCGTGTAGAAAGGCCTGAACTTTTACATATATTTGATTTACTCTATAGTTGATTTAGTTGGTTGTTTGAGTCTTCAGCCTCAGAGTTCTGGTAACACTCTTCTATTGCTACCTTGACCTTTGGCATTTGAAGAAGGCAACTTCCTTGTTCCAGTTTTTTTGGACTCTGTTTTCCAAATACTTGGAAAATATTTCATTATTGTGGGTAAAATTGTAACGTTTCCAGAATATCTCACTTGGCTTTAGTATATCTGCATGTCAATTGGCACTCAGAGGTGGAAGGAAGTATGACTTTAGTGCATTTGCCTCATTCCTCAGGGTGGAGAGAAGTTCCTCTCCATATCCATGGGTAATTACCTGGGTGAGGAGGGCTTATCTGTACCCAAGAGGAGAGACGAGGGCAGGTTTTGTTTTTGCTGGAGCAGAAAAGAGAGAAACGGCCCCAGACTTCAGTTTATAAGCAATAAATGGGTTTTAAACTTTATTTTTCCCTTTGACTGATTTCAGTTTTTATAGGTATTTTGCTCCGAATTTCCTCTCCCTGGATGAACAGTTGTATTTGGAAGTAACCTATCCTGCTATAGTTTACTTCTTAATTCTAACTATATACCAGTAAAGTCTAAAATTTTACATTTCTAATCTTTTCTGAAAGCATAGTTAAGTCAATTGGTTAAGATATATTTTACAATCTAAATTATACTGTCCCTTATTTTAAAGAAGCTTCATCATGGCAAACAGTAATTTAGAAAGAGAAATTCTGTTGGGCATGGTGGGAATTTGACAAGCAATGTAATTTCATCTCATATGGACTGTCAGTGCAAGGACGGATTTTAGAAAAATTGAGTGGTGAACAGATTGCTTTTATGCATGTATTCAACAAGTAATTACTGAGTTTCTGCATGTCACTGTGCTGACCTCTGTGCATCACACATTAATTAAATATTTGTTATTTAATTACTTCCATATCCAAATAATCACAGTAGAATTCTTGGCGTACCGCTTGTGAGTAAGCTAGGTGCAAGAATATGTCTTAGCGATTGAGTGAGCTGTCGTGATGTTATTAGAAATAATCTAGTATTGAAATGTTGGGCCTATGTATACAAAAATGATGACTTTAATTGACTCAAAGCCCTTCTTTCTGGCAGTAAATACATATCAAGCCAATTATCTATAAAGGTCACTCCTAAATGTGTAACAGTAAAGCTAAGTCATGTATTTTAGGAGAATGAGTATATGTCTAAACACTTTATGGGGACAAGATTATCTAGTTAACATAAGTGATATAATATCATAAAGATACAAATCAATAATAAGAGGGACCTGGAGACTTTCTGTTTTATATCATTGGGTTTTGTTATTCAGTCCACCAATATATTAACTTACGGTCCATTCTTTCTTACAACGGAATATTCAAGGAAGGCCAGTTTAATCAGAAAATTCTGCAGTTTCTTTTAGCATATTTCACCAGTGTGGCAGAATGCACCAATGGTTGTGACAGACCCACTGGTCCCCTCTCCATACTTTGCTCTCATCATTTCAGCACCCACAGCCCTAAAGTCCTCCCCTCCTGTGTTTATTCACTTCCCCGGTGGCAGAGCCCCTGCACTCACCTGAGCAGCAGGCATGGGGAACTGTGTCCAGAGATGGTCCTTCGCTATTAACTGATGGTAGCTGCTGCCCACATACGGGAGCTCCCTCGTTCCCGGGACGGTCTGACTCTGCAGAGCATGTGCTAAGCTACACTGGCTTCCAGAGTTTCCCCAGGAGGGCTGAGCTTCGGGTGCCCCTGGTGGTAACCGGCTTTTATCAGCTGCTTTCCTTTCTCCATTTCATCTCCCCATTTATGATCAGTGGTTCCTTCGCCTCCATCCCTTTCCCCCCAGATTGTCCTTAACTCCTGTTTCAGGTTCTGCTTCTGGCTGAATCCAATGCAAAATGTGATCAGAACAAACCGAGAAGCCTGGATCATTAATCTATCAGGTAGCAACTGGCATACAGTTTGGAAGAAGTATCTATTAATTGCAACACAGCCAAGTATCTTCCTTTGAAAAAATGTGACACATTACATTTTGGTCCAAACAGATATGAACTTGGATGAAATGGGAACCTGACATTTCAAGCAGTTCTGGGGAGATTCCTGAGGCCGGGCTTCTCCCTCCGGGGTTTTCTCTAAGGAGAGGTGACTGAGACAGGCACAGAGCACACTGGGATATACCGAGTATGGCATATTAAGCTTTGTTTGTAAAATTAGAAAAAATAGAATCAGTTGGAGTCTGTCTTATTTGAACTCAGTCACCGAGTACATGGCTAGAAAATGAGATTTGAATTTTATCTATTGCTTGGTATCATTTTTCCAATTGCACTTTGCATGGTGCTTTATTAAGCTGTCCAGGCTTAGTTTTATTTTGGCACTTGTTTTGCTACCAAACTGATGGTCAGACCAGTAGTAGAAACCCCTCACCGAAAGCTAGCCAGAGGTGGCCTTTTAAACTTGCACATCTGAGCAGGGCCCTCCCCTGCTCAAGCTGTCCAGGGGCTGTCCGCTTTGCTCAGAGCAAGTCAGAGCTCCCCTGCCGGCCAGCAAGGGCGGACTGGACGTCAGCCCTTGGAACGTCTCAGATTCCATTTCTTAAACTGCGTTTCTTCTTTCACTGGCTCCAGCCGCGTGGGTCTCTGTGTTGTGTTCTTCCTGGAATGCCCCAAGGACATGCCTACCTCTGAATTCTTGCAATTGTGCAGCTCCCTCCGCCTGAGAAGTTCTGTACCCAGAGCCACATGGCTTGTTTCTTAATGTTCTTCAGGTGTCTGCTCAGAACAGAGCCTTAGAATAGAGCCGATTCCCGCCACCTACGTGCACGAGCAGCCTCCCGCCAGCCCCCTCCCAGTCGCCCCCCGCTGTGTTCCCCTCCAGGCCACCTGCTGGCTGACACCCGCGCGTTTGCCTAGTCGCGGGGATGGTCCGTGCCCACCCTGAGAGTGAACTCCATGGGGAGAGGGACTCTCTGTTCTGTTCCGTCACAGCACCACCACCCCTTCTTGGCACAACGGTCAGGCATTCAAAAGGTATCTATGGAATGAATGAATGGATGAATGAGCAAGGTGGTCGAGGAAGGAATTTCCGAGGAGATGATACTTAAATTGCTACATAAAAGATGAAAAGATGCAACCATTTGAAAATAAGCAGGAAAATGTGCCCTGCAGAGTGAATTCCAGTCTCGAAGGTGGAAGCGCTTCCTCAGGGGGTTTCGCCTCATCTTCTCCGTGACAGCCTTTCTAGCCCAAGCTGCCATTGCTTTCCATCATGATCTTCATGCCAGATCAGGTGGGTCCCTTGAGGCTATTCTAGGACATGAAATGGAAATCTACTGAAATTCTTAAAACAGGGGATCGGCTCAACCTAATTTATATTTTAGAAGGCCACACCACCTCATCTGTGGAGAACTGTTTGAAGAAGGCCAGTATGGAAGTTGAGAGATGACTTAAGAGGCAGTCTGGTAGGACGGGGCAGAGATGGAAGCTATGAGATGGCTTGAGTTATATCTTAGTAATAGAGTCAATCACAGCCATTAGGACTTACCACTGGATCAAATGTGGGAGGCATGCTGATGGAAATGTTCCAAGGGAGAGAGAGAGGTTGAAGGTTTAGGAAAAAAGTCATTAGGAAGGGAATGAAGTCCTTGGGCACAGTGGGGGAACGTCTTTTTTATGAATGGGACACTGACTCCATCGCAGTCAAGCACGGGGATGGTGGGCTCAGGACAGACAGAGGGGCGGCTTTGACAGGGGCAGATGAGTGGGCTTGAGTTTGATGACTTGTTTTCTCAGTGAGCAGTAGGCTTAGGTCAATAATAAGAATGGTGAGGGCAGATGAGGTGTGGAGTTCTGAGGACCAAGCGTAGAGACGTGACCTAGTTCAATGAGGCGGGAAGTCTGTGAGAGAATCCAGATCATAGAGAAGCATTTGGCCAGAGTCTCAGAAACTCTGATGAAGGGGAGAAATCACAGCCATGGGTACGAAGCACACGAGCTGGTGGGATAAGGAGGACATGGCCAGAGGCTGTGCAGGCAGAAACAGGCCCCCTGGTTTCTATGCCAGGTGAGGACAAGGAAGCGGTGCAGGTGGAGTCCAGCAGTTGAGCATTCTGGGGGTCCGTGCCTCACCCTGTGGTCACTTCAGTGATGGCGACCACTCTTAGGAGTTGGAGAAGTCACAGCAGACTGTGGGCCAGAATATTAAGGGTCTTCAGTGGAAGTGCAGGCATTATTAAGAGCTCTGCAAGTGGTAGAAACAGGAGATGAGGCAGATTACAAGCAGGTCACCGAGCCTGAAAAGTGCAGGGTTTTGTGCCGCTGAAGCTGGTGATGGTCTGAAGGTGGCATTGGACAGCGGCGAGCAGAGGGACTCCAGTAAAGATAAAAGGGTGTGGTTTTAAAAGCAAATGAGAAGGAAAGCCATTTTAAAAGAAATACATGCTAGTAGAAACAAAGTAAGAATTGGAATATGGAAGAGAGAAAAATAGAAGCACAAGGATGTTTAGAATATCAAAACAAATCAAAATTTAAAACACAAGCTATTTATCATTTATTTGTGTGAGGCTGCTCAAAGCTGTGCTCTGACATTACTCAGAGGCACTCTAGGCGTAGGCTTCTCAGTAAACATGAAAAAAAAGAGCTCAGAAATGGAAAAGGAAAATAAGTTTTAACAGTGTGAACATAAAATGACTATTTCTTTCCTCATTTGGGCTGAAAATAATCACTAGATTTGATAACTTCTAATTATTCCTTATAGTTAAAACCCATTGCTCCCCTTGTGAGTCAGAAAAGATAATGGAGGCATACCAATAATTTTATTGCTGTAAACATAACTCTTTGGAAATTACAGACTTAAAATAGCCAACAGATGATCAAGCAGTAACTAGTACCCAAATAATCCAAGAACATTTATGTTGAGATGGGAAGGCACCTTGTTTTAAACCTCGCCAAAGACGAATAGTAGATTAAAGAAAAACTTGTAAAATAGCAAAAGAAAAATAAGTTAGACTCAGTACAGTTTGATGATAAAGTGTTTAGTAATTCACATACACCAAAATGGAGGGAATATAAACAACTAAACAATAAATTATTCATTGTTTGAAAAATATTTGATGGCTAATAGGTTGATTGATTCATTTTGTCCTAGCATGAATTGAATCATCTAGAACTGGAAGGCAGAGTTTCTCTCATGGGTATTTGTAACCTATGTGGACTGCTGTGTCCTAGTGCAGTGTGAAGGGGGTCTTAGAAAATACCAGAAATCTCACAAAAGGTTGGGATTTATTACATAGGCACAAAAGAATGCAGCTAGTACTTTTAAGAGTTGTTTTTGGTTTCAAATGTCTTTTCTGAGTAGCCGTGGCCATTTTAGCCAATGATTGCACTATCTTTGGACTCCTAGTGAAGTCAAAGGGTGTCACATCTGTTATATCCTGGTTGACATTCAAATGTTTGTATAAACTCAGAAATGAATTATGTATATAACTAGAACATCCAGTTTGAGTGGACATGTAATTCTTGAAACTATTTAATTAAAATTCTGTCAGAACATTACATCGACTGAAGATTATGATGTTAAAAATTTGATACACAAATGCAGAACAATGAAGCCCTATAAATGACCCCAGAGAGAAATTTTTCTGTAAATTTTTCAGTGCAAATACAGTTAAATCAGGCAACATACATAGAGACTAATAATGTGTAGTGGATTTATCTGGAATTCAATGTCAAAATTAGCTCAGGATGGTATTTTGGTTGATATTAAATAACAAAGGAAGTATTAACATACACTAATTTTTGCCCCTAATCACCACTGCTCTAGAAAGTCAGAGGTCTTATAAACATCAAAGACTTTGTTTTTAAAGTATATATACATAACATTTAAATTGCTCTTTCTTCCTTCTCTCTTTTTTAAGAGCAAGTGGATCTGAGATTCAGCTTGCAATATAGATTTCAATTATAACTATTCACTTATAAAATAATTTCAATATCTTCGGTCTATGGGATGACCTAAAGTCTTTGAGTTAAAGCATCTAAAGAGAAGACTTGAGTTGTGCCCAAAGGCTATTCATTGAAAAAAAAAAATGCCTTTAAATGACTGTTAGAACAGTTAATGTCTTTAAAAAGGTAATTTTAAGAATTAGAGTTATAAAGAGTTAGAATAAAGAGAATATCAGTGTGTAATCCTGAAAAAAAATGATTTGAAATTTTTAGAAATATTGGTAACTAATACTGACATGTTTTTCTTTTGTCTCCCAAGGCTTTATGTGACTAATGGATCTTAATAACCATGGTTATTAAAGACTGTCACTCCGGCATTTATTAGACAACCTAAAAAATATTTCTGGAAGATATTGAGAGTCTTAAGAAAACACTTCTGATGATATGTCACATCAAAGTGACAAGTAATCCAATTGTGGTCAGATACCACTCAGGTACCTTTTAATTAATTGGCTAATAATTAATTATTCCTTCAATCTCCTGGACCCAGGCTACTCAAGTGTATTTCAGTATGTACCTTTTGACTTTGTTTTTAGGAATATTACCCATCATTACTGGAATCCCCAAAATGGGAGAAAGAAATAAAAGACTCCCATTTATGACTTTATTTATACCTCCGCATTTTGGCATCATACTATCAAGATTTTATATAGCCCACAGAGTTAAAATAAGATATCTCTTGTGGCTTTGAAAATATTGACATCAGCTTTAACACTGAACAAAATAGCTCTAGATAAAATAATTCACTTCCTATCCCACTTTGACAAGTGTTGGAGGTTAAATAACTAGTCTTTGATCTTGTAACACCCTGGGAAATTTGAGTAATTGGAGAGAGTAATCCTTAAGAGATTTGTCATATCCAGTTTCACTTCACTGAGCTCATATTATCAATGAATTTGGAAAAGAGAAAAAAATTCCTCTACCATGCAATAGTAAATTTACCTCTAGTTTAATAATGCTTTGGTTCTATTCAGGGATTTTAACCATTTTTAACTATATAGCAAACACACAGAAATGACATACCATCAATAGTACATTACTAAATTTTGTAGCTAGAAAAATATATTGTTCTATATAATTTGGAAACTGTCTACAAATTGGAGCATATATGAGCTGAGAGCTTATGGACAAATAAAATCAAAAATGTAAAATTTATGCTAGTGAGAAAGTTCATTAGGGAGTGGGATAGAATAAGGAAATGGGGTTTTCTAGTATGGTTTCATTTGTGTTAACACAGTATCATCAACTTTGTTAAAAGTTGCGAGTTGATCCCTTCAAAATAGCAGCAGAGGGTTGTTTTAAAAAGTACTGAACTCGAGTAAAACTAATAGTATGGTATATTACTTTACTGAACAATTCTAACTGTTCCCATTAAACATTTTACACGTTCTAAAAACTCTTTTTAGATCCCCTTAAAAATATTCTCCCAAAGCTTAACCATACTGCAGGCTTATTTTTTCACAGCTCAGCTTAAGTAAATTCTTTTTACTTAGGAGATGGACAATAAGCAGCTGGAGATTAATGAATGACACTTACTAAAAAACTCAACCTGAAAATACAATGCAGTTGCCATCTGCTTCCCAGAAAGTAATTCACCACGAGGGATGACAACTGTGTCACGTGTTCCTTGCTTCAATCTGAGAAGTACACTTTGACATATTTTCTTTTATTAAGTCAGAGCCACTGTGTCAAAGGGAGAAATGAATGTGATTCTTGCAGCCTGACCCGTGTCCAATACGGAATATTGCATCTACCAGTAAATGAAAGTAGAATCAGAAAAGTCCTTGACTCTTCAGGAATTTTAGTTGAAGCCCCATTTCAAGATTGAGGCTTGGACATTGCGAATCTCTCCCTGTTGCCACTTTCTGGTGGGATTTCCCTCCCATGAATCATTTCATAATTTGCCAGAACAGGAGGGGTTGGTGGCAAGTGGACATGGCCATATACCTGGGTTTTCTTCTTTAGTAGTAAACCCTGGTCTGAATATATGGTTGGATTTTTATTTATATTATCTGTGAAATGGGGCATTTGGCACATATTTCAAATTCTTCCCACACACATGAGCAGGTATTACATGTTCAATTCTTTGTGAGTATTGCCTGTGTTACACGGCACATCGAAACAGAGCAAGGAGAATTATGCCAATTGCCATCTTAAGGCCAGTGCTTTCCATGACCAAGTTTTATTTACTACACGTGCTGGAAATACACCATTGGCCATACAGAAGCAAAGAACCTCCAGGCCATACAGGCACACAGAAGCCTAAGTTTTAGTTCACTGTTGCGATTCCATTAGTATTAATAAGAAAAGGGTCTATGAATGCTAAGGAGAGCTGCGGCCCACAGCACCATTTCCATCTATTTTTCTCCTTGTGGTCTCTCACTGTGCTCCACGATTGTCTTAGCACTGAGCTGTGTGTCATGAATCACATGGTTAGTTTTTGGTGGTGGGAAGTGGACCGAAATCACAATTGCTGAAAAAAGCATGCTGGGCCCCTGCTACTTGGTGTACTGTACAGTGCTGTACTTTGTGATCCGACTCCGGGCCATGCCCGGTGAGGCGGACCCGAGGGTCTGGCTGAACTGCTGCTCGGAGGAACTCCTCGTGTGGCCTATGGTGGCCGTCCCTCCCATGCTGACACCCAAGCCCCCGCCCAGGCTGCTCAGCCCACTGCCGCCGCCACCTGCTCCCGCTGCGCCGCAGACCAGGCTGCTGCCTCCGCCGAGCGCAGCTCTGCCAGAGCCAGAGACAACTCTCTCTGTTACAATGACATTTTGGGCGTTTGCTAGCTCGGGGGGCACACTCAGACCGCCCGCCACCCCGGGGGTTGGTCGGATCACTCTTTCTGTTACAACCACGTTTGACTGCTCTCTGGAATCGGGGATGGTCAGAGAGGTGGGCAGACAGGAACCCGGTGCTATCACCCTCTCTGTCACTATAACGTTTGCCCCATCTCTCAGGTCAGGCATCTCTAACATGCCATGCAAGTTGGCGCCGGAGATGGGACCGACCACCCTCTCCGTCACCAGCACGTTTGATGCCTGTCGGGTGTCGTGGATGTGGACAGAGGGCTTCAGAGTGCCAGAGGTGGTGTAAGACTCGGTCACCGTGACATTACCGTAGCCCAGAGGGTCAGGAATAGGCATGGGATGCTGCACACCGGGTCCTGAGGGGCAGACACCCTCGGAAATGACTGAGGTAGTGCCGAAGGGCGGGGCCATGGGCGGGTACCCACACACGAGGGGCTCTGCGCTTTGCTGGGGGCAGATGGGCTCAGCACCGTCTGGTGGCCAACAGGGGTCAGGGTCGGGGTACAGCTCCACTTCTTTTCCCAGGCTGATATCTGCCAACTTCTTAAATTTAGGCCCCAGGGTGTCCAAGAAGCTGTCGTCCAAGTCTTCTCCAATGAAGCTGCAGCAGCCTACAGAGCCGGCAGGGGAGCCCACACCTTCGATATCGTAGATAAGCAAACAGTCATTGGATGGGCGCCCTTCATCCTCGTCAGCATAAGCATATGCTTTCTGAATTTGCAGAGGAAAGAAAGAATGGAATCATGAACACATATTTAACAATGATAGAAGTCTTTATCGTTATTTTTTCTCCCAGGGCATTACCAAAGATGGATAGATAAAAAATTCTAACACCTACTAGAGATTCTTTAAAAGTCATTATGTAATTGCTTGAAAGAAGTTGGTTAGAAATTATTTTAACTGTAATTCTGATAATACTTTTATTCCAAAAATTTCTGTAGATGGAATTCTTCCTAATAGTGCACTTTGGATTCAAAAGAACTCAATGACTCACATGCATTATTTTGTAATTAAAAACACTGAACTTGAAGTACATCAGATTGGTGTCCTTTTTTTGGGTTTGTTTAAACAAGGTAGGTCATAATTGATTTTGATTCATTCAGAATTGCACTTTTCTTCCTTTAAATGCAGGGTATTGTGGTGGTTCTGTGAAGATTTATTTCAATGTGGCTTTTTAAGCAAAACAGCAGGAAAATTTGACTCTGGGTCAATGACACTTTTGTATTCGAAACTGAAGGTGGCCAAAGACAGTTGTTAAAAATAGAAGAGCTCAGTTCACAGTGAAAATTTGATCTTTCTTGTTAGTGATACTGGAGTGCTGACCTTCAGGCTAAGTATCAGATACCTTTATTAGCAAACCAACTCAGTGTGCTGTTTCATTCAAAATCCATTTTTTGAGTCTTTACTATTTGCCAGACACTCTATTAGGAGCTCAGCAAGGAAGTAATGGACCCAATCAAGTAAAGTCCCTCGTGTAGGGCTTACGTTTTATTCGGATGAGACAGACAACACAAACACATTTGTCAGGAGGGTGAGGGGCAGGGTGAAGGCATACAGCCTGTTGGGGTTGTTTTCTCAGGCAGAGTGGCCGAGGACGGTGTCTCATAAAGTCATGTTTGATCAGAGATTAGAATTAAACGACAGGGTGAGTGAAGCAGATAGAGTGTTCTTGGCAGAAGGAACTTCAAGTGCAGAAGTTTTGAGGCAGAATTGTGCTTTTCATGTAAATATAATATTCATTTGTAAAAATGTGGGCAGGAGGCATTCCTATGGATTTCAGCACAGGTCTCCTTGATTTCAAAACATCAGCCACCTTCTAATCCATTGGGAGAGTTAGTAGGTATTTGAGGCCAGGATGCGGACAGATGTCAATATATCAGAGACAAGAAATTCCTAAAGGCTTAAGCATCATGTCTTATGTAACCACAGGCACTGCTAATTTTCCCTGGGGTCAGCTGGTTCTTAGAATATTCTGGAAGTGTACTGTGGCTCTTGAACCCACTCATCGTATGTGTTTTATGTGCCTGGACTTGAGTTGGGGACTGGCAACATGATGTAGAGACTGTGGACAAGACACTAAGAAAGGCTGTAGACATGTAAATGAACAGATTTTAGCAGTGGTGTGTTCTATAACATGTACAAAGTACAGAAATACAGGTAAAAAAACAGCAATCCAATTTGGGATGAGAGGGTTAAGCATAAAAACTTCAGAGAGGCAGTGATTTTTGGGTTGAGTCTTGAAGGATGGGTGGGGATTTGTGAGGGTGGGGATGGGATACAGATATCCCTAGAGGGGCAGACACAAGCAGAGGCAGGGAGGGCCAGACCAGTGCGAAGAAGAGAAAGCACTTGGCAAGTGGAGTTGCTGTTAGAAGTTGTTGGAAGGAAGAGGGAAGGGGTCAGTTTGTGGATGACCTTAATTGCCATGTGAAGGAGTTTGGACTTCATGCTGCAGACAAAGTAGAGCTGGGGAGGCATGGGGTTGGAGTTACTTACCTGACAGAAGTAACTTTCCATGAAGTTCATGTTCAGACCCCCTTCTCTACATTCCCTCATGGAATTTCTTCTTAATGTTCCAGGATATTCTGGACGTATCTCAGAGGCTCCTGATGTCTTAACTCCATCTATTAATTCAAACCCTGTCGTCCTTTCTACTCCTCCCAGCTCATGCATTTCTCTGCCACCGTACTCGTTTGTGTAGACTCCTAAACACGTCGATCAAATTAAATTTACTTTCTCTAGCATATTGTAGACAAAAAATTGGTTGCTTACTATAATGTACAGTTTGCATTTGTGAGCAAAGAAATAAAATGAAGGTGATAGATAAAGAAAGGAGGTATACCTAGGACATAGAGTTCAAAAAATTTTATTAATCAAGTTGTTAATTTGATAATTATTTGTCAATAATGCTTTGTAGGTAATTGTATTGTGCTGGGAGAGCAGGCTGCAGAGAGTTTACAAAAACCTCTGCTTTAGAGAATTTATTTCAAACTGAGGAAAGCTGGGAGAAAATACCCAAATTCTAAAGTTAAATAATATAAGAATACCCCAACATATCAGAAGCACAGAGCCCTGGGAAGAAGGCCCCGCGAGCCACTGGGTTTTAATGAAGAAACCAGGCCTGTGGACTGGGGAAAGGTTTGCTTGGAGAATCTTGGATTTGCAATTGAATGTGAGGGGTCAGTAGGAGCCTGTTGCAATATTGGAGGAATGTGAGATAAAATGATGGCCTGGACTATGGAAGTGCCATAGTCAGGGAGAATGTTGGTGGTTGGACCCATGTACCTTGGCTTTAATATTGCGGAGACCTTGATTTGGGGGACAGTGTGTTTTTCATACTTCGGTTACTCTGGTGTCTCTCACTGTGTTTTGTTCAAGGTTTGCACAAAGGTCTGTCTGCATAATGAGCAAATAACTGCATAAATAAATTCTGATGAAGTTCTTGATTTGACAAGTCTTGAGAACTGATAGGGCATCAATTAATAGGGAAACCGAAGAGTCAATGAGTTTCTGCTTTTGAGGTGGGGGACGTTGGCATCACTAATAAAAATGGACACATCAGATGGAGGAATAGTTTTTACAGACCAGCGTGTCCAGTACTTTGCATAAGGTTCAGTTCTACAAGCTATAAACATTCCTATGCTTCCTATATTTTAAGGAATTTAAAGTAGAAAAGAAATGATTACAAGTTTGAAAAAGACTAAGAGAAAAAAATAACATAATAATATTTATTTACTTTGAAAAAAGGTAAGATGGTACAACTATTCTTAAAGAGAGGAGTTTTTAAAAATTAGTTGTTCCTTTTATTATACTGATAGCAATCTGCTGTGAAATTCTAATAGCATTCATTTGAGTCTTGAGACTCAATGAGAATTTCACTCAAATTCATTGCCACCTGTGAACTTCCCTGTTTTAAGGGTAGTTGTATTTCTAGTCTTATCCACGGTTAAGGAGAAACTTCCACCACATACACAGAGCCTCAGCTAGAGCTTTGAAAGATTTTGATAGTGTTTTACCCACTTACTTTCGATTTAAGAGACTGGACACATCATTCTAGGTCAACATTTATGTGGATGGTGAGAAGGGATGTAGTTTTTTATCTGTCATGGTAGCAGCTGAAGTCAGAGTGCTTTTGAGTCATCCATGAACTGTGGAGGTAGATTCTAGCCTCAAAACATGAGCACAGACCTCATTTCATTGGGTGGTACTCTAATTCTGATTATTATTTTTTGGTAAATAACATCTGCTCTTTTACACAAAAAACTCAACCAACACTGACTGGTGGTTACAACTCAGTTCTTTTCTCCTGTTTGTGGAGGTGCTCAATCACTCTGGTGATTGAGGAAGATGCTAAAGATTCAGCATGTTAGAGTAACAATTACTGTAAGTTTTTCCTGTCCTTTTAATTGGCAAACTAGTCATTTAAAAAGGAATGGGGGAAGCAATTTAAAGACCCATGAGATAAATGGGACACAAGACGACATGTAAGGAAAGAGTAGAATTTCTTATTAGTCAGTTGAGCTGCTAAAATAAAAAATGTCTTACCTGAGTGGTCGATGCCTTCCATGATATGTGCATTATTGGGTAGTGGTACACAGACGGTGGTCATATCCTAAAAGACAGGAAACAGTTTCCCATTTGTAATCACTTTCCTTTCTATTTCTATGGTTAAACATCGGTTTATTTTCAGATTATCTCAGACTTTCTGCAAGAATACTATTCAGAAACTTTAGAAATCTATTTAAAACCTGAACCTCATTTAGAAAGCCTTCCTTGGTTACTTGCATCTAATTTCAAAGTGCTTTGATCCCTCCCTTGTCCTCGTGCACCTTGGTGATCCCGGCCCAGAGGAGAGGGTGGACTGTGAGTGGTCACCGAGTCTTGGTTCATGTGCATAAGCACGTTTAGGAAACTCCCAAAGGCTTCTTACAGCTGGCACTTACGGCGAGCTCAGGCTGTGGCCCTTCTACCGCCCAAGGCTGAATCGCTCCCTCTGAACATTCTGGAACAGGCTCAAAGCCGGCTCCACCGCCGGGGGCGCCTCCACAGTCGCAGCAGATCAGCAGAAATGGGACCACTGATGGTGAAAGAGCAGGCACAGGAAATGATCAGTTGGGCTATATTGAAACAAAGCAACCTGCTTATTTGTGATTAAATTTGAACCCCTGATTTAACTCCATTTGGTGCTAAAATTATTAAGAAAGTTCGAGAAAGCAAACTGAATAAGGGTCACATTCCAAAATCAATGTGATCATCAGTATACTAGACTGAACCCGTTTTCATTTGTTGTATAGCAGTCAGATTACAAATAGTATTATATTAGTAAAATAGATGAGTCTCATCCTTGTCATCACTCAGGAAGATACTAGAAGGAAAGCCGGAGAGGCAGGGCCATGTGTCTGGCGCTGTGCGTTCCCACCCACGGTCCTTCATTTTTTTCCTCTCACACGTTCCTGCCTTTATTTCAGCAGTAAAATCTTATTCATACTTCAAGCAACTGTTTTCTGTGAGGCTCTTATTTTCCCCTACATGGATATCTTTCCTTGAAATTATGCATGCACAAACAGAAAATATTACACTGCTAAATGATGACTTTTTCTGTTAATCACTTGGATTTTTCTTTTTCATCTATATATTGTAAGTTTTGTAACACAGAGCCTTTTATACTATGTGAACTTGATAAATGATTTGGGATGAATGGACAAAGAGAGAAAAGGACTCAGAAATACATGCAAGGGGGCAAGAGGAGGGGAGAGGAAGCAGGTTGGGAGAAGGAGCGTGACCCGGAGGGCTTGACAAGGGAGGGAGGGAGGAGCAGACGCTCACATGCTCCGCTTTCGTGGGACTGTGCCAGGCCCACAGCTAGCTTGTGAGTCAGATGAACACATCCTCATCAGTTCTCGGCCTGAAGAACGAACTCCAAGCCAGAGGTGCGTATTACTGGCAGAACAGAGAAGCAGCACCGGGTAATTAAGTTACTTTCATAAAGGATTTACTTTTAGAGTCTTAAAATGTTGGTTAAAACTGATATGGCTAAAACCATGAGATGAGAGGATCATTCCCTTGCACGCACACTTCACGTCACACTCTGCGGACCTGCCGGTGCTGCGGGCTCCCACCGCCCTGCCTGCAGGGCGCTTTCCCATTACATGGACTGGGCCGAGCAGTTGGAGGTTTTACCTTTTAAACCCAGCAGCTGACATACAAATTTCTTCAGAAGCGCACAGAAGAATAATTTGAAAGTGTATTTTATCAAAGGGTCAGAAAAGGTCTCCTCCCCACAATTTTGGGGTGGTGCATAGAAATACGACTGTGAGAGCACTTACGTCCCAGCACTAGGAACCCCATGATGAGCAGCCCGATGCCAGCAGGACCAAAATGGATATTGTCTGGGAAATAGTCACTTCCAGTATATACGACTGCACTGGTGAAGTCCAGTGTGTTGGTGGAAAAGCCAGTTTCAGTGGAAATTATTTCTGTTCCACGAGTGGTACTACCTCCGGAAACTGTGGTACCTCCAGTAATAGGCCACGTAAAGCCTTGAAGGACAATAACAATTGTTCCAGTACAAGTCCTTTGAAGAACATCTGTAACAAGATTCAAAATAGAGAAAATGTTTTATACATTTACTGTAATAATTGTTGGACAATACAAAACTTATTTTCTTTATGCATCAACACTTATCTGAATGTCTTTATTCCCATCAACTCAGTAACTCCCATATTACCCCCAACAGTGGCTCAGTTTTTAAATCAAGCTGTGCTGAATATCAGTGCCCCTGAAAAACTGTCTCCTCTATTGAGAATCATAAACATGCATTGGCTGACTATGTGTTAGATGCCAGAGAGGGGACATTTCTAGACTGTTTTTTGCACACTTTTCTACATATTAGAGCCCATTTTTATTTGTTGTTTTACTGCTTTTCATCTTCGGTTCTTGTTTATTCTGAACAGACTGGTAAGTCATCTCTACAAAAACCTGACGTAAAGCAGCATGCCCCCTAGGCTCACAACTCCTAGCAGGGGGCAGTGGCCCCCATGGAGGTGGGAGTCTTGATAGCAATAGGAAGGGGACAGCACTTTTGCTCCATAAGCAGATACTGTAACTTTGTTTTCTTCTTGTTCTTCAGTTTCCTTAAGTTATGATGTTTGTTGGGTAAACACAGAGGTGGAGATATTTATTTGTTTCAACTTAATTGCGCCACACTTGCTGTTTGTTTCATCTAACCAACCAACCAACTAGTCTTTCAAAAGAGTAGACTAATTTTGAGTACATTTGATACAAAAGGTAGTGTATCAAAATGCTTCTACATGTAGATTAGCACCCGAGTGAGGCTGAAGTAGTATTGACTACAAGGGCACACAGAGGAATGTCTTGTGGTGAAGCATGTCCTATCGTCTGGTTTGCATCAGTGCACAGATGGGTATATACATCTGTGAACACTTGTCAAACTGTACCCTTAAAAAAGGTGTGTGTATTATATGTAAATTATACCTCAGTAAAGTTGAATAAGAAATACATCTGCCTTTTAATTGTGTCCTTATCTTACAACAAAATTGGTCTCTTAAACAGTATCAGATAATCATATGTTTATATAACAGTTTAACAAAAAAATAGTATATGTCACAGGTGATAAAGAAGATATTTTTAAATGAGAAAAGTTCCTTAGACCAATTCAATAAAGGCCTTAGATAAATAAAGACAGTCATAGTCCACATTCTGTTTAAATGAATGGAAGCTACTTGTGTCTGTGTTCCATATGCAGTTGCTTTAACTCTTCTCTTCTAAACTACCTTGACAGGGATTCATCCATTGTCTGCACTATATACTCCCCACAGGATTTGAATACATGATAATCCACAATTAGGAATTGCTCAGTGCAGAAAAACCACAGTACTGACAGTTCACAGTGTGATTTTCTTCTCTTTCAGAGATAAGACTTCCAAAGTCTAGCATCCACCATACAGCATAGTTTCTTCACAACATGTGCTATTAGGCTAGAAATTTGTCATAATTCTGAGGTTTGGTTGAACTTTGGTGTCCATAATTCTTGCTGTAGCGTAGGAATGATAATGATGGAATATTATCTTATTCTAGAGCCCATCTAGAGATGTTTTTACCAACATCTCCCCATTTCCTCATCCTCCAATGCTTTTTCTGCTATTTTAAATGCTTTGTAGCCATGTAGCTGGTTTTTAGTATTTTAAACACATCACTTCATCTTTTAAATATTATGCAATCTGTATCTATGAAGCTAAATTTGCTTCAAAAGTCACCATAGCATATCTATTTTTAAAAGAAAATGTGATTTATTTTTCAAATTATATACACACTATACTATTCTTGTCTATACATTCAGATAATCTAAAGCTAAGTAGATTTTGCCTAACTGGAAGAGAAGAGAAATAGCAATATTTATGTTCCTACTGTGGGACTTTACAGGTGTCACAGTGATAGAATCCGGACCTAAATACCACCTTTTGACTAAGCCCACCCACCTTCTCAGACAGACCTAGGTGTCTTCTTCCCTAGGCTACAAGCATTCTCCAGAGGATGCATCAGCAAGCCACAAGCCCATCTTTCCCCTGACCACTCCTCTCAAAGAGGCCGCCAGAGCCCTGGCCACAAAAACCCTCTTGACCTGTTAGAGACTTTCCTTCCTTTGTTCTGTTGGCCAGGACAGAGGGGTCCCTCTCAGGTTCAGCAATAAACCTGCTTGGACTGTGGAGTTCACATCCCCTCTCTTCTTTCACACAGCATATAATTTTCTCAAGAACTTTGAGTTATTGTTATAATCAACCTTATTCTTATTACTAGTAACATGATTTATTGGATTGCTTGTTTGCATTATAAGTAGTTGGACATTATATATAAGTAGAAAAATGTAGAAATATATAAAGAAGCAAAAAAACAAAAACAAAAACACAAAAACAGACTCATACTAGCACTACCCAAGACAACCTGTTGATATCTTACCTTTTAGCCTTCATTACAATGCCTAAAATCTGCTAATTATGTATGCTACATTGATAGATCATGTGGTTCATTCTGTTTTAAGTTTTTACTTTGCATTGTAAGAACTCTTCCATATTTAAACAAACTTTTCATGAAAATAGTTTCTGGCTGCAGAATTTTATATCAAGTGGACCGTGGGTTATCTACCCAGTTGTCTATCATTGCTATTGCCTTCAATATTTAACCAGTACAGATAATACCATAATTAACATCTCTGTATATTCTGTCTTTTTTATTTAGGATTTTTTCCTAATATTATTGGAATTGGGTAAAAATATAGGAATGGTTTTGCTTGCAGTTATTGTTTTTATTTATCTCTATTATATAAATGTGAGCTATGTTGTCAGACTTTGTCCACTGATGTAACCTGGCAGAATGGCTGATGTTTTGCTAGCCTTCTATATATAGTTTCTGAATAAATGAATAAAGATACTCCTGGAAGTATATACCAGAGACATGTTTAAATCCAGTCTATCTGACATCAAAGTCCATATATCCTTTCAGCTCAGCTTTGTCAATTCAATTATTGTTTTTATTATTTTTGTGTTATCATCACATGTGATATATATCTCCAGAAGGTTGCGATTCTTGAAGATAAAAGGACTGCTCTCTATTTGCCAGGAGCCCAACAATTTTGTAAGCAAAAGTTACGTTTTCCCCTTAATGTATCCAATTAAACATGAGGTTGAAGGTAAGAAAAGGAGTAAGCTAGCAATTGCTTAAGATGATTTCAGCATGGAATCAAAACATGCTTGATCTATGGATGGAATCAACATTTCTGTACATTTCTATTAGTAATATACATTTTAAAAACTATATTTCTTTTGACTGACTGTGGAAAAGACCAGTGTAAGTTGGTTAAATTCTGAATTGTTGGATGGCTTGAAAGAAATGCTACTTTCTTTCTTTTTAATCTGTAAAGCTAGTGGGAATTCTCAACCCCTTTTTAGGATCATTGAAAGAGAAAAAGGGGAGGGAGAGAGAAAGAGAACGGAGGGAGGAAGTAGAAGGGAAGTAGCAATCACCACTTTGTGGAATCAGCCCTGGGAACTTCCCCTGTTTGGTGCCCAGGCTGAGTTAATTTTATTGGCCTTGAAAAATAATATGAGCATGCTGCTCCCAAAGTATTTATATAAAGTTGTACATCAACTTTCCAAAAATTATGTGAAGTTAACTTGGTTTCTGGACTAATTCTTTGAAAATAATCTCAGAGTACAATTTAAACATTTCAACTCTTGACATTAATCAGAACTAACCTCATGGAATGTCAGCACTTTTCTGAGTGCTTCTACATGTGGTGGCTCCTTTAATAGTTCTCGGTCCGCACTGTCATCTCCTCGGTTTACAGAACGGAGCACTGAGGCGTGAGTGGGTTAAAAGTCTTTAAAATCCCATAGCTAGTAAGTGATGGTACAAGACAATCCAGTCTTATTCCAGAGCTCATGGACTCAGCTGCTAAATTATACTGCCTCTATATCATTAACAACTTGATTCTACAATACCCAGATGATAACTTTTGTTGGAAAAGCACTTACTTCAAAACATAAAAATTAAAATTTTAATTTCTGAGTATGTGTGTGTGGGTGTATATACATATATGTATATACACATATATATAAAACTTCCTCTGGAAGGGAAAAAAGCTAAATTGACTCCTTACCATCTATAGATAGAATCGTTCCTTGGTATCTTCCCCCAAGCATCTCATATTGCTCCATGGTAACTCTATTTCTCAAAGTAATTATGCCTGTTCTTTGGTCAATAGCGAGCAGACCAGTTGGATTACTCCCCATTATGTATCTGTATTGGAAAGAAAATAGGACAAATTAATATCTAAAAAGAGAGTTTTTTTTAAATTATAAAATGTGTATTTCCAGTCAGTAGTTGTAATTACTGGATATTGTTTTCAGTTATTAGAAACTTAATTTTTTTCAGGGCATTCTCAGCTGTTTGAGGATGCTTAGATGAAGATTTAACATAAAAAAATAAAGAATTACTGAGCCGCCTCTTCTGATAAAGTCTCTTAGCCCACTTGGATGTCAGGACAACCCTTGGATGGTTGCAGCCTTCTTTTCATTTTGGTAGCATCAGAACTATCCTGGAAGACCCAGAACCTGGGACTTCCTGGGCTGCTCCCGATTCTAAACTGTTCTGTAACTGCAGCAGTGACCTCTCCTTCGCCAGCTCTGCCTTCGTTCCTCCCTGTTTTCACCCCATTTACACAGTGACTTCATAGGACTTCATTTGAATTCTAAACTGTCCTTGGCTTGTGTCTTTCCACACTATTGTCTTTCTTGCTTCATCTTTGACTTTGATGTTCTCCTTCTCATTTACATATTGGTTAAACACCAGTTAGATAACTCTGTGTCTCAGGCATTGTGCTAAACTCAGGGATTAGAACTGGGAGAGGAGATGGGTGGGGGTGGGGAGGTCTGCCTTTAGTGAACTCACCTCTGTGGGGTACAAGAGAGTCCATCAGGAATGGTGGACAGTGTGCTAACAGCTAGATCAGAGATACATGGTATGAGGAGAACAGAGAACTTAACGCTCGCCGGGGAGGTCTTTCCCCTCATTGTTATTCTTGAACACAAGTTCACGTGTAAAGTACATATGCACATATACACATAGATTTTTCGTGATCAAGCAGAAATATTTGGATAGAGTTTTAAAAAGCTACATAGCATGACACTTCCTTAGTATAATTTTTCAGTTATATTAAACATCAACATAAACTGATTTCTCGAATAGAAGTTACTACTGACCAGTATTAAATACTGATTAAAGTGAAGAAAGTAACTGACATGAGCCAACTATATCTAATGGATTTCAATTGTGGCATATTTATGGTGGGAGAATCAGTCCATAAAATCTTCCAGGGGGAATAGCTATGATCTGTGGTAATTCACTGAGAGGTCAATAAAATATATACACACAGTAGTGTTAAACTTTCAAGATACCTTATTTTCACATTTTACTTTTCTACATGTTTACATCTTACATTTTGCACAAATGTTTATATTTTCTTAAGTTAAACACTCTAAATTAAGTAACAATTCAGAAGTTCATACCTTTTGTGATTGAATGATGTTCTCAAAAATAACGAAAAATATTTTAATTCAGATTTAAAATTTCTAGAAAGAACATATGTCCTTAAGTTCAATACGTAGTGAAAACTAATTGGAAAATAGTAGTCTTACCTAACAGTTGTTGAAGGCAGGCCTGTGTCCAGATCAGTAGCTATAAATTCTCCCACTTTATAATTTGCTCCCATATTATTATTCACTACGTACGTCTTTGAACCTGGTCGGAACACTGAGCCTTCAACTACATTCTCTACCTGCACAGAGACTGTAGTTGCTGTGAGTTTATACTGAGACATAACTGACTGATGAAATTCAGCCTTATTTCTAACAGCAATACTAAGCTGCAGATTCTGCATAGCTTCATAATCCAGGGGCTAGAAAATAAAGAGTGAAATAGTTTTATGAAAAGAAGAAAAAATGTTCTAGAAAAAAGAAACATCTTTTGATAACAGGCAAAAAAATTCTTACATCTCTTTCCTTTATTAAATATAAATACATATAAATATAGAATCTGTTGTTATTTTATCTTTAATTCAGTACAAACACATGCAAACATACTAAGGGAAAATCCAATTGTTCTAGATCATTTGTTGAAAAGTTGGACATACATGACATGAGTTCTAACTGTCCACCAAACAAAAAACTTATTATGGATGGTCACACTCAAGTATCTTGTAGTGCAAAGACAGTTTACGTTAGTTTTGACCATTTCATGTTTCTCAGAAAGTAGCTCTATTTATTGCAAAGTTTGGGCCAAATAACCATAGGTTCAATCGTTTGACTGGTTTTATCCATGAGGAACTCTTTAGAGGAAGTTTTACTTTTGTAAATGTGACTTCAATAAGTCAGGTAATAGAACTTGTATATACATCATAAAAAGGAATCCTTACTGTCTTAAATATAGTGTGGAAAAAATTCACTTCACTTTGTAAAATAATCAAATAGTCATTTTCTTTATGAAGGATGGTGTTAATAACAACTATCTATAAAGCCCACAATGATGCCTTATGCCCGTAAGTACCAAATACATTTTTCTAATTTTCACAAGAGTAATTTAGATGACCATTAATTCACATATTGAACTTTCCACTTAGCTAAAATTTTCAATCTTTGCTCTAATGTTGGCTTTATTTGCAATTTTAAGAATGGCTATGAAATCATGTATAGGTATACATTTATACACACACACACACACACACACATTACTTTATCATCATAACCAAGGAGATAATCCATGATGTCATGTCTGGGAGAAAAATCATCATTTCATTTTACAGAGAGAGATATTGAGGACACATAGACTACTTTTCTAGAGGAAGGTACTAATTTGAGGTAAACTAGATTAGGACTCAGTTTCCCAGGCATCCATCCAATAGTAGCAGAAAGCATATGAACTTAATAGCCAGAGAAACCTGGGTTTGAACATCAGCTGTACCACTTACGGGCTGTGAAGACCTGAGCGGATTATACACTGTCTCTGAACCTCAGTGTGTTTATCTGCAGTGCAGGCCTGTGAGCTAATCTGCGGGGATGCTGTGAAAAATAAACAAGAGCCACTGCCTCTGTAAATACAAGCTGCAGGAATGGGGCACTTCTTGAAGATGGGGGAGACAGATGATCATGCATGCCTAGGGGAGCAGAACTCCTTGGGAGTCTAATTCCCAAGGGCTATGCTGAAGGCAGGAATACATGTCACCACGAGGAATACATATTGTGTGCATCACCATCCAGACACAGCTATTTCAGATTTTAAAAACTTGCTAAATCTTGTGGCACAGGGTGATGCCTCACCATCAGCTCCCCAGGAGTCAGATACTTTTTTCTCACATCTTAGAGGCAATTCTTCCACAAGTAAATGTGATGGATCATTAATGTAAGGGCACACAGGAGAACTCTGTTGCCTTGGGCAAATTTCTAGTGTATTTATGTTTGTAAAAGCCTTGGTCGGCAGCCCCAGTGAGATGAGAATGTGATAATCTTACAATTAGAGTAATTTAATTTTAATTTTATGATAACACACTTGAATAAACTACTTTCAATTTATGTGATGAATATATTCTTAGTGCATAATAATTGATGTACAATACTGATACAGACACTTTCTTTGTTAAAATGTTAAATCTTCTTTCAAAATATTCTTCAAATACCTTAAGACACAATCTTAAGGATTAATCATACTTTGTTGTAAGCATAAAATAAGATGCTTTCAGTTTATGTGAACTGTGAGAAGGCACTGCATTGATAGAAAAGAGTTTGAAGCTAAAGTTCAGTGCCTGTTTTTCTGAAATGATACAAGGAGAAAATCTCTCTGTGAAAAAGTTCTACGTTATATATAGTCCTTAAAACACAGTATTTTTATTCTTTCATCCACTCAAGTTTGTGAAATGTTAGCATCGTTTTAAGATTAACGTTTTGAAAAGAACCAAGAAAACAAAAAATCTAGGATAATTGTACCATACCTTAACCACCTTTAAAATTCCCACATTTGTTCTTTCATCCATTTCTATCTCAAACCAATTTCCTTCATTTCCAGAGATAAAGAAAATTACTGCAATCCAGTTTGCTGAGAACTCCTCGTCCAAATCGATTACTCTAATCTGGACCAAGTTTGAATCAAGAGTATTTTCTTTGATAGTTATTTTATACTGAAAGAAAGAAGTACAAAAATCTTAATGCAAATAATGTGAGAGAAGAGCTAGACTAGAGTTATAAAAAATGTTTATATAAAGAGTGTTCATTATATAGAAAAGGAATCTGTATTTATAATTTTACTTTTCATTGGTAAAAATCTTTTTTTTCACACAAGCCAAAGTCTTGTCTAACTTTGGGGTGTCTGTGTCTAAAGATAACATGCATACCTCTAATTAGAACTGTTTGAACAATTGTTAGAATGTAATGCATGTAAGGTTATTAATTGCAGAAATGAAAACTTACTGAAGACTGTTCCATGTATGGGATGTTGTCGTTGACATCGAGGATTTTAATGCTGCATTCACACTCTGCTGACATGCCATCTGCCCCGCCATCTCGGTCAGAGCCTCTTACAGCAAGAGAATACTGGCTGTATTGCTAAAAATATACAGTATAAACAATATCACAGCTGACATAGACATTATTCTTTGGCATAGACAAGAATATTGGCTCAACATTTACATAAATCTGATGGAGAGAGGGTAACATCGAATATTGAGAACTCACAAATCTCACATGTATCAATATGGAAGTTGCCACTTCTGTTCCCAACAATGCTTATCCAGCATCGTTTAAAAGAAGCAACAGTAAAAAAAAAAAAGATGTCCAGGGGTTGAAAAAGTTTATAAAGGGCAAAGCAGATCAACATGATCAGGAGAGAGACAAAGGTTTACCAAGAATTTATGCTGTAAAATTCCAAACCCTAAATAATTAGTCCCTGAAATGGGCAAAAAAGAATACAGAGACAAGTGGTTTGCGTTCATGGGGGTGGGGGCAGTGGGTTGTGGCAGTGGAGTTGTGGATGATCTGTCTTCCTGATTCTACCTAATGGTGCTTAAATTTTTAGAAGTTGGTAAAAGCTGTGTAGTCTTTCCCAGACACAGGAGTTTATGCATCCTCCTTCAGACTGTGGATGCAACTTTAGGGGAGTCATAGTTAGTGGCATCTTGAGGTCTCTCCATGAAGCCCAGGGCAAAAATAGCTGCCCTGGTGGTTTCCCAGTAATTGTGGAATTACTTCACCCTTTAGAGCTCCTGATGCTGAAGGAATCCCACTGGGCTGTATAAGTTGGAGAGAGAAAAAGCTAAATAGTCAATTTCTATCATTCTGATCCTGTAATTCATTTCCCAGAGTAATCCCTGGGCTGCCAGTAGGTGAGAGGAAGAAAATCTGTTACTGAATAAGCTTAGGGTATCCTGGGTTAAAGAAAGATGAACAGGTTTCTTAGCTTGTAAAAATTCTTGGAGTTTTTACCATGTTCACATGCACTGCAGCTTGCTGAGATGGGGTCATAAGAGAAAGTGCTCCTTAAATTCATTTTATTATAGAACACACTTTTTTTTTAAAGGAGCTTTTGCCTGTATTTTATATTTTTATGTACTCTCTGGATATAGGTTTCTTAAAGAGGCAAATCATAAATAGGTATAAAAAATGGCAGTACAAAATGTATTTGAGGAATCTCCATTTTTTTCATTTTGAAGGCATTTCCTATGTCATTGCCATTATGTGAAGAAATCATTTAATTAAAATTTGGAGCTTTTTTCTTTTTCTTTGACTTTCTTAGACATGATGCTTTTAGCACCACTGAAAAGTTTTGAGACTAACAACCCATTCAAGAGACAGTAATCACCTCTCGGTCTAGAAAATTATTCATTGTCCGTATTTCTCCAGTGTATCTGTTGATAATAAACATTGGTGAATCCAAAGGTTCCTGTCTTATGATCTTGAAGGCGATCTTTGAGTTCAAATTGTTTGGTTCATCGGCATCGGTAGCATTGAGAGTCATCACCAGTGTATCTAGAAATCAAGGAAAAATCATTGCAAACAGGCAGTTGGCATTTGTGTTCCCACGCGGTGCAGCGTGTGGCTCCCCCAGGGCCGGCACGTATAACGTGTGCTCTGTCATCTTCCCTTTTGGCTTCTTCAAAGTATCAGTATCTTAGCTCTTTTCTGTACTTCTGCCTTGACAAAAATAACACATTTTTACCAAGGCCCTAGACATTACTGATAGTTAGAAAACAAAGAAATGTTTTATTCTGCCTTTCCATTTCTCATTCTAGTATAATTCTTTTTTTTTTCTTCTGTTTTAAGACTGCTATGGTGGAGCAAAAGGACATTAAGGCCAGAATGACTCTTTTCCGACTGCAGCACTTTCTAGCTGTATGACCTTGGCCTCAGTTTCCTCAGCTACACACGGGGGTAATACTAGTACAATCCTCACTGACTGCATGAAAGGATTACACAGATTAATGAGGGGAAATCATATGAGTTCCTACTGAATAATGCACACTTACAAATATACATTACTGCTCTGTTTTTTGTGGTCCCTAGTGATGTTGTGGGCACCTAGTAGGTTGAAAGATTTGCCTGCTTTAACTACATACCTTGTGCTATCCCCTCATCTTTTCCATGAATTGTATAATTTCTTATAAATTCAAGATGCCCTTACATTTTATTTTTCTTCATTAAAATACAGTAACTACCCTTTGAACTTTTAAAAGTACCATTCTAAGAATATTTGTTGTAAAAATTCACATGACACAGGAAGTAAAAATGGAATAGAAATCTGTTCTGTTTTCTCTAGTACCATCCTCCAGAGGCAAACACTATCTTTAGTTTCTTAGGTACATATGTCTGTAATTCTATAAATATATACAAACACATTTTTGGAAACAAACAGGTACATATGTCTGTAATTCTATAAATATATACAAACACATTTTTGGAAACAAACAGGGCCATATTTTACATACTATTCCATAATGTGAAGTTTTATGTAGGATGTTTTTGACAGGTAGATGCTCTATCTACTTTATAGGTGCTCTGGTGTCTCTCAGCCAGCACCACCGGAGACAACCAGCTGGTCTGTGCATGGTGGGCCAGCCAGGGGTAGGCTTATGATATGCGTCAGGTATATAAAATCAGTGATGTGAGTGAAAAGTGAACAAAACCTGTATTTATTGGGTCATGTGTAAGAGGGGGAAATGTTTGCTTTGAACTACTAGAGAGCTGGTGTGAGTTGCAGGGCGAAATCCTGCTATACTTTGGAGTTGTTCCTCGTATATGACAGGTTGGTGCTGCTTCCGCAGTGGAAGGGAAGCCATTACGGAGACTTCTCACCCCTTTCTGCTCTGGATGCTTTTCTAGACTGATCTCTTGCCTTTGGGACATAGTACCTTGATATAGTTTAGCCTCCAGTTGCCTGGATGTTAAGAGTGATCTGGAAGCCAATATATTCTTGTTCACTTAATAAAATAGACTACTTACTTGCATTAGAATTTTCTTCTATTTGTCCTATGAAAGTAGACATAGAAAACACTGGAGGGTTATCATTTATATCCAAAACCCTGACTCTGAGCTCAAGAATCCTCTCTAAATCTTGGCCCAGTGAATTCAGAGCCCGGCAATAGATCTAGGAAAGAAAAGAAGAAGAATTAGCTGGTGCAGCACACGTTTATGAAGTCTGTACTTTGCGTGGGCTCTGTGCGGGCTCTGGGGGCAGCTAAGAGGAAGGGGGCACCTTGTTTCCTGCTGGGCTGGACATACGAGTAGTGCTGATGGTCAGCAGGGAGGATGGACATGAACTCAAATATCATGGAGGAAGGGTGACACAGTGAGAAATACAAAGGAAGAATAAAAAAGAGTGCTGGGACCTCATAGGAGAATGTAGTGGTTGGGATTCATCATGGAAGAGAATTTCAACAGGGAATTGGCAGAGCATTTCTAAGAAAAGGGATGCAGGTGGGGCAAGAAACGGAGCAATGAAAATGCACTGTTCGAAGTCAGGAGAAGGGGCGATGGGGCTGGAGGGTGTGGTAAAGGAGAGGCATGTGGGAGCTTTAAAGAAATAAGGTGCCTGAGCAAGGTGGTGGCCACGGGTGTTTGTATCATCATTATTATTCATATTTGAACTGTTCATAAGTTTAATGTATACTATTTTACTATGTGGTATTTCACATAAAAGTGCACTGTGCTTCAAGGAAAGCTAATAGGCTAATAGTTTGTAGGGGAAACAGTGCTAAGGAAGAATATAGATTTGGAATAGAAGCCTAGGTAATTGAGGCCGTCTGAGGAATGCAGGCAAGCAGCGTGAGTGGGCGGCTACAGTGCAGATTCCTGCTCGAAGGTGTTTTGGGATATGGATTGATGGAACTTTGAAAGAAGTAGTTACAAGATCAAGAAGAGTTTTCCTTTTCTTTATTTTTTTAAGTATTAATAAGTGCTGGCCATGGTGATAGATGGAAATGGAAGGAGCCAGACGGAGCAAGTGGAAGAGAGACCGAAAAGCGAAGTTGATGGGATAAGGATCTCAAGGAGACAGGTAATGATGGGACAATGGGCATTTCTTGGGATAAGCTGTGGGAAAAAGAAGAAAATCGATCCTTTATTTGGATTAAACGCAAATCACGTCTGGACTGGAGGAGAGAGAATTAACTGTGGGAGTTTGGGCTGGAGGGTCAGGCTTTTCAGTGAAGCTGGCCACCAGGCCAGCTGCTGACAGTGGAAATGAGGTGAAGGGTCGGCCACGGGCAGTGTAAGGAAGGAGGGAGAAGCAGTTCAGGATGAACTAAAATATCTCCAGGGCATATTCTGAGCTCAGGTGAGCTTGAGCAATGTGGACTTTTAATACAGTGGCTTTACTCAGAACAGGCTCTCTTGCCAGTTCCAGAATCAGCACTTGGCATCAGTTAAAGGAGTGGATATTCTCAACCGAGTTCAGTAAATAGAAGTATAAGTTAGGTACTTGGCCTTCCAAACAACATCTAGCTTCCCGCTAGGTACAGACCAGAGGTTACCATTTTTGCTGTCATTTAAATGAAACCTTCCTGCATCTAAATCTTTTGTTTCTCTTGGGTCAATGGATGCTCATGAGTTAAGAGACAACCACATATGCCTAATATTAAGGCTCTTGAAATCATATCAAGTCTGATCTGAGCTTAAGATAGTCCAAAAACAATTTAGGTCAGTACATATATATTGACATGGAGCCCACTTACAATGAAAAAAGGGGTGACCTCTCGATCAACTATGGATGTTATATTAATTTCACCAGTTTTCTGATTAATAATGAAGATTCCATAAGGTGGTTGGTCAATTCCTACTCCAGAGATGCGGTAGGTAACCTGCTGGTTTGCGGCACAGTCAGAGTGAATCTGCAGGAAGAGCACAGTGAAAACATCAGAGAGCAGACAGGAAGGGCTCTGTTTGATGTCTGACAGCTGTCTTTGCTGAGCATCGTTGAATGGGAGTACCTGTTATCCTTTTGGAAAATGACAGGAATGGAGAATTAAGTTCCTACACAAGCAGGGTAATCACAGCTCTAGCATTTTCAGTGGCAGCAGACAATGCAATAGAAGTTCAGTTTCTGTTTCTTCCAGTAAGGACAAAGTAAAATATCAGCCAATACACTGAAGCCTATGGGATCCCTGCTCTCTTATTCACTCAGCATCACCACCGTTCACACTGTTTCCAGGCTCTGTGCTGCCACTGGCACAGTGAGAGACTCCTCACACTTTTAAGGACTTAACCAATTTGTTATCACATACTTTGATCTTCTGATTCAAGTTTTTTTTTTATTGTAAAGCTTGAGAAGAAAGTTTTAAGTGTATTTACATAGGTGACGTTACTTGACTCTATGTAGAAGCCGTTAATTCTAAAAATGTGGAGGATGTATTATCAGAAAATCAAGGGGACAACCCCAGATAAGTGGTTATAGAAACCAGGACTCTTTCTCTGAAATAAAATATTGTGTGACTAAGCAAACCTTCCCGGGAGGCCTCTGTACATATATGTGTCAGTGTGTGTGCATCTGTATGTGCATCTGTATGTTTGTATGTGAGTCTGTGTGTGGGGATGTGTTTCTGAGTGTGTGCATGTGTATACAAAGGAAGATAATAGAAAATGAAAGGAAGAGAGAGTATGAAAAAGGCTACAATGTGAATGTTTATGGAAAAGCCATATTAGGAATTCAGCTCTAATGGATTGAGGCAAAAAGAGCACCCACGTGGACATAGATCCTCCGAAGGTACTGAGGGTTCAATTCTCATTTAAATCGTGATTTTGTTTCCTTTTCGAGTTTGTGGTAACACACGGTCACGTGTATATTCACTTTGGCAGTCAGGTGGGTCAATGTCCAACTGTTTACCTGAGTGCGTACATTTCTTAATGCACCTTTGAATAGCTCCACTTTTGACAGTCTGAGTGATGGAAGGTCTGTCCTATGTTGTGACTTTTCAGTGAGGTATGGTCATAACATATTTAAAAGACGCGTCCTGACACGCACCCCGGAGCCTGGCTCCCGGGTCGGGCCTGTGGGGCGCACTCACTTTGGCAATGGGGTTCCTCTTGGAGTTGTCCTCGCCCTCCCGGCAGGCTGCGGCGAACTTGATCCATTCGCGTTTCTGCCTCCTGATGGAATGCCACTTGATGGTTCCATTGTTGGTGTTATAATCTCTTACCTTGAGGTGCCAGGATAAAGCAATAGCGTTTGTTAATTTTTATTCATAATTCACATTCCACTGAAGCTTTGGGAGGAAAGGGTAATTTTAATGTCAGAGAGGGTGCTTTTACTGGGAAAATAGGTAGTTTTGACGATTTATTTATTTTGGCATGGCGTTCACTTTACTTATAAGGACGAATCTACTTTGGAAAATATGCTGTGACTCCCAAACCATTTTCCTTGCTTTTAATTTGGAAAAAAAATAGATTTGCTGTGTATTACCTGGATTCGAAATTCACTGTTAACTTCCACCACCACCTGTAAAAAATCAGAATCACAATAGTCAACTTACAGTTAAATGCTTTACAGTACATGCTATTCAATTATTTTAAAAAAAGATCAAAAAGTCCTGTGAATCACTGTAATTATTTTGTCAGTCTAGTAAGTAGTAGGTGGATCGGGTCCCTCTCGGGTCTGCTCGTGACGCCAAGGGTTCCTTTCCTTTGGTTTTTACTTTTCAGTTTTGCTCTTCTTTTTATTACTTTCATTTTTGTCCTCTGGTTAATTCACACACAGCCTGTGCAGATACTTGCGGTCTTATGAGTAGGATGTCTGAAGCCAGAACCCGGGAGGGGCGGTGGCTGGGCACTCAGGCCCTCTTATAAGTCTTGCACCTGCAAAGCTGGAGATTGGCTGGTGCTATTCCATGATATTCAGCTAGTAGTTGTGATACTAGAACTTTTGACTACGGTCTCAGGGCTTGAGTAGAGGAAAAAGTTTTGGAGTGAAGAAAGGATATGAGGAAGAAAATATCTGGAAAGCGACAGAATATTTACTCACAGAAAGATTTTCTAGTATTTTTGAGACTCTTGGAAAGTGGTAATTTTTCTCTTTTTTGGGGGGAAATATCAGAATAAAAAGCTCTAAAATAAAAGCAGATAATTTCCTCTGAAAAAATGAGTGCATATTTCATGTCTTACTGTAAGTACTAAACAAAATAGGCATCAGTGCACGCTGATGTCCGAGAGGGAATCGGAGGAGTGCGGGGGCGAGTTGCTGGGTGAGCGGTTTTCACTTGTTTTTTTCTTCTGCATTAAATAATTTCCCTGCCTAACTGCCTCATTTCAGCTCTGGCCTTGATCTTTACATAGGAATTGTAGTGAAAAATCAGGATGACTTAAACTATTTTTCTGTAAAAACTAAAGGCATTTCTAAAAACACAGACATTTGTGTGTTAAGTTTAATACACCACAAAGACATTGTAAAATATCTAGTTAAAAACTAGGTGTGGACTTGAAGCCTAGTTTGCATTTATTAAGTTTTAAATTGCACTTAGAATTAATTAAAGATGGTTACATTTTTCATTTTTATTTCTCCTTAAATAAGAAATTTTTAACTTCTGTTTGATTTTCTCAGAATTGCAAAGTATGAAAACTGGTACTACAATTAGATTTTATCTGTATCACCAATAAAAGGAAAATGTAGTTTGCATTTTAAGCATACTAATAATAATTTCAAAGTATAGTAAATTCTTTATAGGTAGTTTCAATTTCACCACTAAGTAAAAATAAATTTTTAGTCTCCAGATACATCTTTTAAAAAATTTGCCATAACTGATAACTCAGGAAATGTTTATTTATTGTTGATATGAGTGGTATAGGAGACAAAGTTTTTATTAGAAGACGTAAGTACACATGGTATATACTCAATGTTAATTGTCATCATTATTACCTTATAATTCACTGACATATATTCTTCACAAACAGATATGGTCAATACTCTAATATCTCTACTTTATAGTTTAGGGTATTGAAGTTGTGGCTAAATATAAGCCAGTACAAATGAGCCCCAATTTGCATTTGAGGCATGGGTTTTACAATAAAGTATAAGACAGCCTATTCCAAACAAGTTACTGAATAAAATATACCACAAACAATTGACATTACAACTTTGAGAATTTAAAAAAATTCTTATTTTCCTCTAATCTCATATTACCCTTGTGATGAGGAATACCTGTGTACAATAAAGTAACAACAATAGTCGTAATACTAGGGGAAAAAAGAAAATGAAATGGCCCAAATGGTTTGGACAACGAACTGCACTGTTCCCGCAGAGCCCCACCTCAGGTGCAGAGGTGTTCACACCCACGCGTGCCTCTTGCTGCCTGTGGACTCGTGAGCACACTTTCCTCTTCCTTGCTGGGCGGTGTGGTCGGCAGTGTGAGGATACTTGGTCTGGAGGCCGTTTCCTCACAGCGACAGAACTGTGTGTGTGTACCTGTGGTCTGTCTCGTGCTGAGTGGCAGGCCCTGCTGTTTGTTTTGAAAAACTATGCCAGATGACTAAGAAACCTTCCACCTTTGTGAAGCTGGCTCCTTCTTTTTCCCAGGAGAGGCAACTTAGGCAGAAGACCAAGTACGTTGCACCATAGTGTCAGGCTCTCAATTAGATTCGTAATTAAAAAACTGCCAAGTCTGCTTAAAAATATGTCGTGTTGACATAGCCTGACTGTCTTTTGCTCAGAGTCTAGAATAAATTCTGAAACAAAGTCACTCCTGGACTTTCACAGGCAAAATAATGAGAGAAAAAGAGCACTTGGTAGAGGCAGAAAATTTTCAAGGTATTTCCTAAATTCTCTGAGCTTTTTCTCGTTTTAAAAGGACACAGGTAGACTAAATTATATTCAGTTACCTTTCCAATTCTAACACCACACCCCTGTGTGCAGCAGGAAAATATTGAAGGCTTTTTAATCATGGGAAGACACGATAAAATTGTTGGTTTAATAGATGGCTTGACAACAGGTGGTGGGAGTGGTGGGAAAGCAGCGCTTACAGGCCCCCAGCGCCTGAGTTCTGCAGGAGGTCAGGTCAGGGGCAAGAACCAGCTGAGCCCCAGAGGAGGCAGTGGGAATGGCCGGGACAGATCAAGGGAGATACAGATGGGTGAGCTTGACAGGGCTTAAGAGCAAGTAGGACGTGGGAGTCGAGAGGGGAGACACTCTGGAGACGCGAGGAAGGCAGTGGCAGGATGAAGCAGGTTGGAACACACTGTGTGCGATATGCCAGGGAAATGTCCTGGTAAAGATGCTAAGCAATTTGAAATATGTATCATCACCAGGAACCCGAGTTCAGGCCTAATAGGCAGATTTGAGAGACACCTGCTCAGATAGGATAGTTGAAATCATGGCAGAATTTTAATTCCCTAATGTGGAGAATCCAGCAAAGAAGCAGCCTGTGGCTGAGAATGAAATTAGGGGGATTCCTACATTTATGTAACTGGGAATAATGACAATAAACAAGAAATGAAGAAAGAGAAAATAACTGGCTAAAGAAATGAAGAGAAAATATAATGCATTTTATGGATGTCAAAGAAAGTGAGGATTGCAAGACACCTGGCGGGTTACCAAGTGTCAGATGATGTAAAAAGGTTGAGCAGAGTGAGTACTGAGGAAATCCCAGGGTTTTCTGTGGCTTTTCAGAGAATGCTTTCATTTGGTTGAATTGACTCTGGCAGACTGAAAGGACCAGGGAATAAGATGGTGAGGAAGAGGCCAAAAAGATGGTCACTGTTTAAAAAATTTGGTGATAAAAGGAAACAAAGATAAGATAGTAGAATTAGATGTAGCATCCCAGGAAATATTTTGGGAGAGGGAGACATGGATTTCTGAAGGCAGAGAAAGAGGGAAGTAGGAGATTCTGCTCTGAAGAGGGAAGGTTCAGAAAGAAGGTGCCCTCTGGAGGTGTGATGGACAGGGGAGGAGGGCATGGCCGAAGGGGAGAGCTTTGAAGACAGTTGGGGAGGAAGAGAGGAGGATGGAGGTTAAATTCAACCAATGATGAGACGGACTTTGAAGGACATTGTCCTGAATGGTCTAGACCTCTGCCCCAAAGTAAGGGTAAGGCAATGAGGGAAGCTGGACTCCTGGGTGAGCTGGGAACACGTGCTGTGGGGGCTGTGATGGACACTCGCTTGGAAATGAACGCAAGTGTTACCAGGCTGAGAATATCTCAGCTCTCTTGCCCACTGGATATGGGCTCAGGGTAAGCCACTTTGCTATTCGGTGCCTCCATGTCTTGTATATATAAAGCTAAAGCCCTTTCTAATTCAGTAACTGTAAGCCAGCAGTGAATCATTCACTCCCAGTGCATCCTTAGTGGGTCCCCTTTATTTCTATTTTAGTTGCTAATCCTCATAGTAAAAAAAAAAAAAGCCACAGGACACAAAATTGCATGCTGATTTCAATGATTCTCCAATTACACTCATTTTTAGTTTTTCTCTTTTGTTATTGAGGTTTACATTTCTTTGCAAATAATGAAGCAGTCTTGAAAGTAATAAGTTATTTTCATAAGGAAAACCTTTTGCATTTGATAGTTGTGAAGTGCTCTTCCACAGCCACTCAGTAGTTGTTAAGTATAAAATTATAACATTTGTTAATTGTATTTTACATTGCAAGGCTGAAGTTAAGACAGAGCTAAAATATAATAATTTGTTTCTTTTTAAAAGCCTCCCCTTTTATCTTTCCTGTGTATTATTTGGATAAAAACTATCAGTCTGGAGTTGAAAACACCTTGATGGGTTAATTTCTTTTATTTGTGAGTTGGTTTATTTATTTATTTAGTTGATAAATGCATATCAAATGTGTATTATGTTGATCCAATGCTCGATTAAGACTTCTAAAGGGCTCAAGCCCTAAAAATATTCTGGTACACCTTAGATGGAATGCAAAGCAAATGTCATACTACCCCATAAAAATAAGTGTTAGGGAAATTAATTGTGATTATTCCTATGTCTAATTCCTTGATGACTTTTTGGGGCATGTGGGGCAGAGAAATAAAAACTACAGAAAAGTTCTGTTCTGGTGCCTCTACTTTGTGTAGTTAAATATCTATTGAGCAATCCTGAACTGGATGGAGCGGGGCACAATGAAGGATATAAAATGAGTCAGACACAGAACCTGCCCTCAAATGACTTACAGTTGAGTAGTTTTATAAGCAACAGCCTATCATTAAGCAAGCGTAAAAGGCTGCACTCCATTCCCATAGGCCAGTTGAGAGCTGTCTCAGCAGCAGGTAGCATTTAAACTGCTGTGACGTGCTGCAGTGCATTAAAGGAATTTGCATGCCAGGCATCACCAGCTAGGGTGGCATGACCCACACTCTGTAAGGGTGTCCCCTCTCTAGCAGGGGCCCAGAAAATCTAACTGCAGTGCCCGTTGTCCTTTCTGCGCACACAGTAGTTAGGTAATGCCCATTAGCACACAGGGATGCCCAGCAACAATGTCCTTGGAGAATGCTCAGTGGAGAAAAAGCTCTCAGGACTTAAGTGGCCTGGGTATAGACAGCAGTGTTATTCTTCTAGATTCATGAACTTTGTAAAATAGGTGAATTTGTCCCTTACAATTTTTCTATTCCCTAAATCAGGTTTGGCAAAACATTTTTACGCTGTGGCAACTCAAACCAATTGAATGATGATATATTTGTATTCCCTGTTTTCATAAATGTGTCAGAAGATGATGATCCTAAATTTGCACTGAAATAATAAAGCATTTATGAACATCTTATAAATGGTAATGATTTTTCTTAGCTGCAGTTTATACCAACATCTATATCACTATAGTATATGCACAAGAAAGTATAAAGAATCCTCTCCTTTCACTTGTCTTCTGTTTGGTCTGTGCTTGTTAGTCCTTCTCTTACTTTAGGCATTGGTGAACACAATTACAGGAATTTAAGATGTCTGGCTTAAATAAGCTGATGAACTGCATAATGAAGTATGTATTATGTTTCTATGTCTTTTAGCCTGAATGCTGTGAAATACTCTGAAAGGCTCCTGCTTATTTCCAAAATATTTTCAGCTAAGTTCAAATTGTGGAGTTCATTTGTCAGGTGGTCAGAGGATGGTGTTTTTTTTTTAAAGCTAATATTATTATAGAAAGAGGAGAAGCTAGGCTAGTATGGTGAACTGAAGCATGCATAATAAACAGATAGATTTATTTGTTCTTTGAATGCACATGGCAGACGTTTGCCTTTACAGAAAAAGACACCTTGTGATTTGTGTTGATTTGAGTTCACTTAGTGAACCCAGCAAAGTTCCAAGTGATTTTCAAAAATCATTAGCACTGTAAACATCCTACTTCCTCTGTTTTGCTTCCACATGGTGAGCATGCCCAGCCTATCCCACTGTCATGACCATTCACAGGGGTTGTTTCTGGCGGCTGCATAGGTAACATTGTTCTCTGGCCTAGATACATCCTAGCCCCCTCCCCTGCCCAAATGCTAATTTTGTGAAAATGAAAAAGAATGAAAAATACATGCAGAATCAGTAACATTTACTTGGCTTGCAGTGTTATTTATAAAAGGTGGAGGCTGTTGTGTGTCCTGGAGGTTTGTCCGAATGATGGAATGGTCACGAGGCAGTCTTGCTCACTATAAAAGCACGTTCTTAAGCTTCCTTCTCCCTGATCAGACCCATTAGGCTGAACAAGGTCTAACACCTCCAGGTATATTGAGCAAGCTCCACAACATGCTTGTAAATAGATGGTTGCCCAGCTCTCAAATGGATTTGCATGAAAAATACTACCAGTTTGAATTCTTAAATAAAAATTGCCCAAATATGCTTCCTACTATAAATTTTTTCTTACTGACTTTGAGCAGCAAATACACTTCACATAGTTTTGTGTGTGTGTGTGTGTAAGAGCAAGCATTTATAGTGAAGGTCTCATAAGGGTGAGTGGAAGAGGTTGCTATAGAGGTGGTGAATTTTCAGGAAAAAATGAAGGTATTTTGAAGCAAAAATAGTTTGGATAACTCCAAAGGAAATTTATCCAAATCATTCGATAAAATTGGTGGTAAAAATAAACTGATTTTCCAAACGTTAGAAAGTGAAACATTTTACAAAAAAAGTTACAGTAATGTGAAAATAAGACACTTAATTGATTCTAGAATAAGTTCTTTGAGAAATGATTTTCATAAGGTATATGAGAAACTTGCAACAGATCCCCAAGCAAAATATGGAAACAGTTCACAAACAATCAAACAGACTCAGAAAAGAAAGTAAAAATGCCCAGGAACGTCTCCGCATAAAAAGAGAGGAAAATTCAGTGGGGACACTCGATTTTGATAAAATGACACATTTTACTGAAGAATGACTAACCAGAAAGAGGTTGTTTAAAGGAGTTTTATAGGATGCAATTAATTAGAAATAATCATAAAAATAAAGAAATAAAGTGTCTTATAAAGTCAATGAAAGTACATAAATATCTGATTAAATTTTAATCAACAAAAGTCTATAATGGTTCCTAATGGACCAAATTTTTATGAAATTAAAAACAAAAGTATTTGATTATTTCACGATACACAAATGCTCCCATGTTCAGATGTATCACACTCATTAACCTCTGCCACATCCCCAGTTACGGTGTCAACTGATCCTAAAAATCCATTAAAACATTCATAGATTAGGACTCAAGCTTGAAGGTCAGCTTGGAACTAAAGCTGCCAACTTGTTGATGCTCATTTATAATTTAGAACCAAATCCACTCTCTATGACCTCTCTTAATCAAGAAACTGAATTCAAATTAACCAGCATACTTTGAATCAAAGACCTAACTTCTTATTTTAGAAACTCAGCAATCCAGTTAAAAAATTAAACAAGTGGAAACAAATACGAACCACAGTGCTATGTCCTGCCAAATTGGAGGGCAGTTTACCCAGCACTTGCCTCTTGGATTACATTAACCTCACTGTGAGAGAGGCTGTGATTTTAAAATTTCCGGCATAAGGGAAATGGAGGTATAGCATTGGTGTTGCACTTAGTATTATCCCTAAAAAGGAAAAATTAGTAAAGTGTGTGGGGAGAGGGCAGTGATAAAGCATTTCATTACATCTGCCTGACCACCAGATGTACAGTTTTCTTATCACAGTCATTATGGACTTCCCAGTAAGAACCAGTATTGTAATAATTATACTTCTTAATTATAGCCATGCCTTCACCTCTGTGTCATTTATAAATCTCCTACACAGCCATGCTTCTTGTAACAAAATATGTTGTTTTAAATAAAATCATAGTTTAGCAGTGGGTGTTAGTCATACGGATCTCAGCCACACAGGAAACCACAAAAACATGGATAGTAAGGCCAGCTACAAACTGCTGTGATTTTAATTTATATGGCTCCTAGTTCTATGTCTTAACAATTTTTGTGCATTTACCAGAAAAGATACCAAGAGAATGGGAAAATGTTTAGGTTAAAAATCAGGACACACCCGTGATATTAGTTTAAACGACAACCTGCAGAAGAGAATTTGAACAGGATGCTGTTAAGCAGTGATTTGACTTTGCCAAATTCAATGTTTTCCCAGCATGACCTGGCGATGTCATGCTGTCAGAGATGTGCTATGATGAGCAGACACTGAGGCATTAGTATGAACTTGAGTCTTCAATTAAAGAGAAACACTACTTAAAAATCTAGTTCATAAAATCACCTTGTCATTAACATAAAATTTTAATGGGTTTAAGTTAGAAATAACATGAAATAACACTTTCTAAAAAGCTCTCACTTGTTCACACTGAGAATGATTATGAAGGGTTTTTAGCAGAAAATGCTTACCAGAAAAACGAACAGCACCACAGCTGTTCTGACGTGCCGGTCCATTGTTGCCGGTTCTCTTACATCCAAGACCAAGGGAGTTCTGTTTCTTCTTCTCTGTTCTTTTTCTTTCCCCCACTCAGCTGGTGTCAGATTAAAATAATTTCAGTAGATGTTCCTACATGCAGGCTTTGAGGTGTTTCTGCCTTGACTGGGCGCGGGACTGAAGGTACGTATAACCAGTCTAAATCCCCACCCTAAAAACTTGGGCTGGTCTCGTCAAAAAGCTTGACAAGATCATCATTGCTCCCAGGTAAAAGCTTGGGACACACCCTTCTTCCAGCTGAGAGACAGCTGCTCTCTGTGGAGCTGGAGGAGTCACTCCTTTGCTGAAGGTTTTCAGTGTTAGGCATTAGAAATGATCAGAAGTATGCAGATTTATAAAACTGAGAGGAGCTCTTCACCCTGTGCCTTATCTACAGGTTGTTTAGTTTCTTCCCTCTTAAAAAGGCAAGTGTGATGCTTATGTTATTTAAAGAGGGTTATCCTGCCCATCCTCATAGCCAACTCTCAGGTCACAGTGGGAAGTGATGAACGTCAGATTTCAGGGGATGTTAGGAAACATTCAGTCATTTTCTAAGCTGTTGTTTAAGAGACAGAAAATTTCCTAATGTTGAGAGCGAAGATTTTTTTTAACCATTCATTCAAGCAAGGAAAACTCTGATACTTACATTATAGGGTCCTCTGCAAGTCGCAATTCCCTTTACGTCCCTCACCTCAGCCTAAATTCAGGAAAGCCTCTGTTTTCTCTCTAAATAAATGTCTTCTCTTTCCAATTATTTTCCTGTCTTTAAGATTCTGAATTTTTTTTCAAATGCAGAAAAGCAAAACATAAAATATCAATAAACCAGATTAAAAGTAAACAATCACAACCACCATTTAAAACTCCCGTTGATAATTTTTGAAATGAGGATTGGTGTCTGAAGTACTTAGCAGAGACACAGAAACCTGCCCTTCAGGTGAGGGGGGTTGGAAGTCAGTGACTTCTCATGCCCAAGCCTAGAGCCAAGAGTGTGCGGTGAGCCAAGAGTCTGCACACGGAGCCAGTTAGAACATGGGGATTGCATTGAAGAAACGGCTGCCCACACAGGCAGGTGGTGAGCTGGACGCAGCCTGGAGGTCTGGGGCAGAAGTGGTGAGAGGTACCGCTCACACCGCAGCGTGTGAACGGCTCTCGAGAAATCTTCTCTTCACCCTGCAATGTCTAGTATGAATACCGCAAGTGGCAGGAAGCCTGGGGAACTTGCAGGCGCAGTCTGGAACAAAAGACTGCTCTGAGGCAGTGCCTTTCTGGTTATGCTCAGAAAGATGCTAAAGATGTCCCAGAAAGGAAAGGGGTCTCTGAGAGTCAGAGGTTCCGCAGAACGCTGTCATTTCACTGCACGTGTGGGGCAAAGAGGGTTACTCAATAGTGGCTTGGAATTTCACGTTTTTCCTTATGGGGCTGAGAGAGAAGGAGATAGGCGACTGGTTCTGACCTTTAGTGAATAAGAATGCTTATGACAGGATTGGTTCATGTGAAAAAACAAAAGGGGTTTGTCAGGCCAAATCAGTTGAGTAAGATAGAATGTGAGTGTCCACTGTGACTTAGACTGAGTCCTGCGTTAGTAGCAGGGCTGTGTGACTACAAACAATGGAAGACTCACAGCTGAAAGGCCGACTCCCGCAGTCTGCCCGTGGCCAACGAGAGTCATACCCACCTTGTGCTCAGGGCATGGCTCGAGGGTGCTCACAGGCCTTCCTCACCCATCGGATGACTTCCCGAAGCCCAGCCCTGGCTCCACGCCTGCCCCAGTGCCCTGCTCCAGCGCCCCAGACAACGGGAGCATCCCAGCAGCTGCTGGAGAGGAGGTGTGGTGGAGCCCCAGTGGTGCCCAGTAGTGCCCACGGTGCCCAGCAGTGCTCATTTTGACTGTTGCATGAGATCTAGTGACATCAAGCACAGTGGGAACGGGAGTTCATGAGTCACCGCCCCTCCTCCTTCCACTTCCTCCCCTGAAATGATTATGAAGGGTTTTTAGCAGAAAATGCTTACCAGAAAAACGAACAGCACCACAGCTGTTCTGACGTGCCGGTCCATTGTTGCCGGTTCTCTTACATCCAAGACCAAGGGAGTTCTGTTTCTTCTTCTCTGTTCTTTTTCTTCCCCCCACTCAGCTGGTGTCAGATTAAAATAATTTCAGTAGATGTTCCTACATGCAGGCTTTGAGGTGTTTCTGCCTTGACTGGGCGCGGGACTGAAGGTACGTATAACCAGTCTAAATCCCCACCCTAAAAACTTGGGCTGGTCTCGTCAAAAAGCTTGACAAGATCATCATTGCTCCCAGGTAAAAGCTTGGGACACACCCTTCTTCCAGCTGAGAGACAGCTGCTCTCTGTGGAGCTGGAGGAGTCACTCCTTTGCTGAAGGTTTTCAGTGTTAGGCATTAGAAATGATCAGAAGTATGCAGATTTATAAAACTGAGAGGAGCTCTTCACCCTGTGCCTTATCTACAGGTTGTTTAGTTTCTTCCCTCTTAAAAAGGCAAGTGTGATGCTTATGTTATTTAAAGAGGGTTATCCTGCCCATCCTCATAGCCAACTCTCAGGTCACAGTGGGAAGTGATGAACGTCAGATTTCAGGGGATGTTAGGAAACATTCAGTCATTTTCTAAGCTGTTGTTTAAGAGACAGAAAATTTCCTAATGTTGAGAGCGAAGATTTTTTTTAACCATTCATTCAAGCAAGGAAAACTCTGATACTTACATTATAGGGTCCTCTGCAAGTCGCAATTCCCTTTACGTCCCTCACCTCAGCCTAAATTCAGGAAAGCCTCTGTTTTCTCTCTAAATAAATGTCTTCTCTTTCCAATTATTTTCCTGTCTTTAAGATTCTGAATTTTTTTTCAAATGCAGAAAAGCAAAACATAAAATATCAATAAACCAGATTAAAAGTAAACAATCACAACCACCATTTAAAACTCCCGTTGATAATTTTTGAAATGAGGATTGGTGTCTGAAGTACTTAGCAGAGACACAGAAACCTGCCCTTCAGGTGAGGGGGGTTGGAAGTCAGTGACTTCTCATGCCCAAGCCTAGAGCCAAGAGTGTGCGGTGAGCCAAGAGTCTGCACACGGAGCCAGTTAGAACATGGGGATTGCATTGAAGAAACGGCTGCCCACACAGGCAGGTGGTGAGCTGGACGCAGCCTGGAGGTCTGGGGCAGAAGTGGTGAGAGGTACCGCTCACACCGCAGCGTGTGAACGGCTCTCGAGAAATCTTCTCTTCACCCTGCAATGTCTAGTATGAATACCGCAAGTGGCAGGAAGCCTGGGGAACTTGCAGGCGCAGTCTGGAACAAAAGACTGCTCTGAGGCAGTGCCTTTCTGGTTATGCTCAGAAAGATGCTAAAGATGTCCCAGAAAGGAAAGGGGTCTCTGAGAGTCAGAGGTTCCGCAGAACGCTGTCATTTCACTGCACGTGTGGGGCAAAGAGGGTTACTCAATAGTGGCTTGGAATTTCACGTTTTTCCTTATGGGGCTGAGAGAGAAGGAGATAGGCGACTGGTTCTGACCTTTAGTGAATAAGAATGCTTATGACAGGATTGGTTCATGTGAAAAAACAAAAGGGGTTTGTCAGGCCAAATCAGTTGAGTAAGATAGAATGTGAGTGTCCACTGTGACTTAGACTGAGTCCTGCGTTAGTAGCAGGGCTGTGTGACTACAAACAATGGAAGACTCACAGCTGAAAGGCCGACTCCCGCAGTCTGCCCGTGGCCAACGAGAGTCATACCCACCTTGTGCTCAGGGCATGGCTCGAGGGTGCTCACAGGCCTTCCTCACCCATCGGATGACTTCCCGAAGCCCAGCCCTGGCTCCACGCCTGCCCCAGTGCCCTGCTCCAGCGCCCCAGACAACGGGAGCATCCCAGCAGCTGCTGGAGAGGAGGTGTGGTGGAGCCCCAGTGGTGCCCAGTAGTGCCCACGGTGCCCAGCAGTGCTCATTTTGACTGTTGCATGAGATCTAGTGACATCAAGCACAGTGGGAACGGGAGTTCATGAGTCACCGCCCCTCCTCCTTCCACTTCCTCCCCTGACTTTTCTCTTTCCTACTCATTTTAGGTCCCTAGCACGGCCTTGTCTAATGCAGCTTTCTGAAGTTGTGAATGTCTCCCTCTGCACTGTCCAGAGTGGTAGCCACCAAGCACGCATGGGTCTTGAGCATGTGGGATGTGCCTAATGTGACTGAACAACTGAATTTTTAGCTTCATTTAATTCTGCTAATTTAAATTTAAGTAAACGCACATGACCAGGGATTACTGTGTTGCAGTGCCGAAAAGTTAGCACATCATCGTTTTCATTATCTTCCATCTATTCTAAGCTTCAACTCCTGTTTTTTTTTTTAATCAAATTAAACTCCCTTTCATTAAACCCACCCTATTCCTTTTCTCAACAGAGGGAACTCTGGCTTAGTTTCAGGACCTGGTAGTTCCCTTTCCCCTTGTATTCCTGTGATGTCAGTTGGCCTTGTCTCCAGTCCTGACTCCTGACTCATCCTAATTCCTAACACCAAGGAGTTAAGACGCTTTCCAACATATGCAACTCCAACTCGTTTCTGTGTTCCCATGGTCTCAGTTACTCTTTCAGCCGCCTGACCTGTAACTGCCGTCCCACACCTGCGCCGCTCCACTCCCGCGCTGCATCTGTCCAGCCTCCCTGCCCTGTTTTCACTCTGAACAGCGCTCAGCATGTGGACTGCCACACACATACCAACAGTTCTCATTTCGTGGAAAATTTAGGAAACTTGGAGTGTTTTCCTGTTTGGAATTTCCCTGGTCAGCTGACAGATTTTCTCACAGGGACCAAAACTCTCCTAGGAAAAGATTTTCCTCTCCCTCATAAGGCCCAGCAAGCACTAGGATGTCATCCCAAGGGCCTACATTTCTGTATTTGTTCACAGCTTGGGATCCTGACATGTCTTTTTAAGGACAAAATAGCATCTTTCGCTAACAGTGATGGCTTCTACTGATTTGGTATTTCTTAAGCCTAATTAAAGCAACTGACTGTTTATTCCCCTTTATTTACACAGCATGCATAGCCAAGGACTCCTGCATCTCAGAGAAACCCTGTGGCATATTCATGTTACATATGAACCTCTACATTCATATATGTGTCTAATCAGCTCTACACATTGTCTACAAAATAGGTGAAAGATAA